TAAGCTGGCTCGAATTGTATTTTAGCATGACTGGCATTCTAATTTACAGCAGCAGTACCACAGATAGGTAGGTAACACATGTACCATGACTTTATGATGGCTATGACATCACTAAGTGACAGGAAACCTTCAGTTCCATTACACCCTCAGATGGGAGTGAGGTCCATCTTTAAGCAAACTGTCCTTTTGTGGTGTGTATGGTCTCTTGAGTTCTTGCTTTCCTTTTTTGGGTGGATTAAGAGAACTCCTGAGTCATATGATAATGATATGTTTTGACTTTTTGAGGAACCACCACCCGGTCTCCATAATATTAACAAGTGGCTTTTTGAAATAGGTCGCCTTGGTCAACAGACTACTTCTTTGAAAAGTTGCAACACAAAGTATGAGCACAGTGAAGATTCTGAGCAGGTTGAAGCAAAGACAAGACAAAGCAATTTTGTTCCTCAAACTAATTTGATAGTGCATCCTATTTTGCAGAATAAATGGAAACACACCATACCCTGTTGGTTTGGAGAGCAGTACTCTAAGCTCAGCGAGACTGAAGACGGCGGTTCTACACTAAAGCGCATGGAAAAGTCCAGTCAGATGGACCGACTCCAGACTTTCTCCTTGCAACATTTCTTCTCTTCATGGATCTTTACATGTTCTCTGCTTGGCACCTGGTATTCCTTTCCTGTTTTTTAAACGTTTCCTTCACTGCCCGGGATTGAAACCAAGGCTTCACACACGTTAGACAAGTGTTTTATTACTCTGAGTGATATCCCTAGACCCTTTCATTTTTGTCTTGTTTTTAAGATAGGATCTTGCCATTACCTTTGTATAAGCCATCCTTGATCCCACAATCCTCCTGCTTCCACCTCCCAAGTACTTGGGATTACAGGCATGAAGGACAATGCTCAGCTCTTTCTTCTGCTATTGAACTTCTGCTTATCTTTCAGAACTAGTTCACACACACACACACACACCAGGCCCTTATCCAACTCTGACCTCCCGCCTCTTTCCTCAGGCAAGAAGTAGGAGCCCATCTTCTGCTGCATTCTTGTTACACAGCATTGCTTTGTTAAGCAATCTGTATGTACTATATCAACGTCTGTCAACTTAGATAGACAACAACCTGGAAACCTTGCTAAAACTGCAGATGTCTCTACCTCACTAAAAATTCCAACTCAGTAAGTGTCTCTGGGATGGGCATTCAGTAATTCTAGAATGAACATTTATAATAAGCCCCAGGAAATATTCTCAGGAAGAAGATTCTTGGAATTTCCTTTAGTTCTGTGAAGAAGAGCCACCTCTACCTCCATTTATTGTACATCTAGTAGGCATAGAATAAATAGTGGATGAGGGAGCAGATGAACACATGAATGAACAAGTAAAATATTCCAGTTTCCCCCTATACAAAATAAGCTTGGACAGGATATTCTCTGTTGTCTCCTGCTTAAATTTCTCTTTATAAAGTTTGAGTTATTTTAACCAGAATATTGAACCCTTCACAGAACCACCTATAATGCACAAACTCAAGAGATTTGGAAACCAAGGGGATTTTGTCCAAGCTAATACTTAGCAAGTGATTCAGGAAGAACGTGTGTGTGTGTGTGTGTGTGTGTGTGTGTGTGTGTGTGTGTGTGTGTGTGTGTGTGTGTGTGTGTGTGTGTGTGTGTGCGTGCTGGTTCTGGGGCTTAAACTCAAACTCAGGGCCTGGGTGCTGTCCCTGATCTTTATTTCTCAAGGCTAACTAACACTCTACCACAGCTCCAATTCTGGCCTTTTGGTGCTTAACTAGAGATGAGTCTCATAAGTCAAGAGCTAGTGGCTGACACCTGTAATCCTAGCTACTCAGGAGGCTGAGATCTAAGGATCACAGCTCAAAGCCAGCCCAGACAAAAAAGTCCCTGTGAGACTCTTATCGCTAGTTATCCACTCAAAAACCAGAATTGGAGCTGTGTCTCAAAGTAGTAGAGTGTTAGCCTTGAGCAAAAGAGTTCAAGGATAGAGCCCAGGCCCTGGGTCCGAGCCCCATGACAGACAAAAATCAATCAATCAATCAATACAGTCTCATGGGCTTTCCTGCCTAGAATATATTCAAATGGTGACCCTTAGATCTCTGCCTCCTGGGTAGCTGGGATTACAGGCCTCAGTCACCGGTGTGCCTGGCTGAATTGTATTCTTGGAATAAACCATTTTCTCCCAGGCTAGCGACACAAGAGAGGTGGCATTTATGCCCAAGTGATTTCAGTCTCATTTTCTGCTTTAAATCTGAATAGCAAACAGCACTGTCAGGAGACTGTTGGGGTGTTTATCTGCTCCTTGGCTGCCTTGGGGAAAGGAGTGGACCATCAGACCTTTCAGGGCTCTCATTTTGCTACTAACTTTTCTCAGTGGACCAAACCCGAGGCCTTCAACATGCCGAGTACCCACTCTACCACTGAGCTACACCCCTACCCTCTAAGTAGCATCTTTGATTCTCTTTCCCTGCAAGTTTTGAGGCAGTTCCAGCTTCTCAGAAGAGCCGTGCTTGAGGGAAAAAAATGAAGTCTCCCATTATTTATAACCTCTCAGCATTTCACAAGGAAAAGGTTGGCAATGGCTGCCAAGACCAGCAAATATTTGGTTAGCTTTGGAAAGACTGGGTGCTCATTTTCCAATTCTCACAGATTTCTCTATGCCCAGTTTCTTTTATTAAAAAAGTTAAACCCAAAGATAAAATCGAATGGCACTCCAGGCTTTTAAGTATTCATCTGTATCCCAGGGAGTAGAGCCTCGGATCTAAACAAAGAAAAGCTAAATCAATAGAACTCATGAATTTCCTCCAGGAACAGGACCCAATGTGGCAGAACAAGCAAAAGAGCCTCCTATCTGTGATTTTCTTTGAGTGGATGCTTACGGGAAGGGCTCAGAAATATTCTTTTCACGGAAGAGAGTCAGCAAACTGTGGTTCATGGGCCAAGTTCAGCCTGCTGTCTTGTTTTTGTACAGCCTGTGAATTAAGAATTTTGCCTTTACCTTTTTAAATAGTTGGGAACAATTTTAAATGAATATTTTATGACATCTTAAAATGAGATGAAATTCAGATTTGCATCCATAAATAAGGTTTTCTTGGAACGCAGCCACGCCCATTTGTTTGCGTATTGTCAGCAGCTACTTTGGAGCTACATACAGTAGCAGAGTTGGTTAGTAAAGACAAGAGATTAGATAGCCCTCAAAGCTTAAAAAGTATGCACCATCTGGGTCTTTCCAGAAGTTTGAAGGCCCCAGGAGCAGACGATGAAAGACATGGCTCTATTATTTTGACTCAAATTATAAAATAGCTGGGCACTCGTGACTGCAGTCCTAGCTATTCAGGAGGCTGAGATCTGAGGATCGCAGTTCATAGCCAGCCCTGGCAGAAAAGTTCCTGTATGGCTATTATCTCCAATTGACCACTCAAAGATTGGAAGTGGAGCTGAGGTTCCAAGTGGTAGTGTGCTAGCCTTTAGCAAAAGAGCTCAGGGACAGTGCACAGGCCCTGAGCACAAGCCCTATGACCGACAAAAACAAAAAAAGTCTATAAAATATATATGCACAGTCAAACAATTATAAGCCAAACATCCAGGTCATCTAACACTTGAACTAAATCACTTTCTGTATCCCACAAGTTCAATTGTGTTCTCCTTTGACTAGCTGGGCCTGTCTGATACTATTTTCCTTGCTTTCCTTCTTTCTATTTCTACCATCTAAACTCTCCAATTAGATGTTGCTTGAAGTGTACACAAATAGAATATTACTGTAGATTTATTTCGTGTGTCTTTCTCTACATCATGTGAGGCTCAGCCTTGGGTTTTCATACGTAGATGAGGCTGCAGTCCTTTCTTTGCCTGGCATTTCTCATGCCATTTAAAGCCAAGTTCAGTGATTCATTTTACTGTTTGTGAAGAGTTATGTTGTTTTCAATTAGCAGCTACGTGAAGAACATTGCTAAGAATGTCTCATGTTGGGAGCCATCACTGACTTGAGTCTGTCTCAAGAGGAGTGGATTCCTTTTTGAGGGGAGGGTCCATAGTATGTAGACACCTGAAGTATTCCCATGCTAAACTGTTCCCCAAAGAGGATTGGCCAAATTACATTGCCACCTGTGGTTATTTTAGGAGACTGAAGAGCTCTTCTTATCTTGTGAGACTACATTGTTTACACCTCACATACTAAGCAGTACCTGTTCTCTGTCCAGAGCTGGAAATCAGTGGCTCACACTTATAATTCTAGCCACTTAGGAGGCTGAGATTTGAGCATCAAGGTTCAAATCCAGCCCAGGTAGACCAATCTTTGAGAATCATCCCTAGTTGGCTAACAAAAAGCAGTAAATGGAGGCATTGCTCAAGTAGTAGAGCACCAACTGTGAGTGGAAAGGTTGAATGAGAGCAAGGGGAAGGTCTCAGTTCAAGCCCCAATACAGGTACACATCCAGGCATGTAACATGTGTGCACATACACACACACACGCATGCATGCAGACACCCATATAAAGTTTTCTAAGAATGCATCTTGAGATGGGTATACTTAAATGTTCTGAGACAGGGACTGGCCTCCAACTCCTGACCTCCTGCTTTTCTATGATGAAATATCTCCCAAGTTTGTGTGCTCCTACGCTTGGCCAGCAGACCAGACAAGCTTGATGCCATCTTGACCACTCTGTGTCCCTAACTGGCATGGAAGGAGGTCACCTAGCATAAGAAAGGGGTCAGGTGACCTAAAGATGGGACAGGGACACTAGGGAAGTGATGGATGACCTTCGCTTCCCTTCAAGGAATGAGTTCCTGGGAAGCTGGTGCTTCTCTCTGCAGTTTGAAGAAAACGGGGATGAGAGTGTCCCCGGCCCTCCTTCCCAACCACCAGAGGCATTTCTGAAGTATGATGTAGTGCTACATAGAAAAGGCACCAATGAACCCCGGACCCTAGCACACATTTATCCAGTTTGTGAAGCGGATTAATAGAATAACCAATAAAATATGTATAAAAGCTTTAATTAAATGTGATGAAATAAAACTTCATGTTTTATTTATGGACACTCCCAACATGTAAAGGATTCAGGGAGACATTCATTTTTACTGCCATTTCGTCCTCATATCTATAATTAAATCCAGGCTGCAGCTCTGGCCCAAAGCAATGCGGCATTTTAAAGCTGGCCTTGGGCCCTCTCCCCTCCCCCATCTGCTTTTAATTATAATTACGATCCCCCAATACAGAGGAGGCTGATGACAAAACAAACCAAAATAAATGAAACACACACAAACACAAACAATGGTCGTTGACATTGTGTTTTAAAGCAACGCATTGAAGGAGGATTTCAGGTGGGAGGGTGTATCCTCTATTTCCAGTTTTATTTGGTACCAAGTGCACAATCCCTTCATTTTATTTTTGACATTAAAAAAAAGAACTTCATGAAACAAGACAAAATAACTTATGATTATATGAAACATAACTGTGACAAATCACAAAACTATACATATTAATAGAAAAAAGTGTACCTAATTCTTTAAAAGATTTATGACAACAAGCAGCAGATGTGCCTTGAGAGTTAAAATCAGCCCCATATCCAGTATGATATATGCAGCTCAATTCTCTACGTGAGTGTACAGAATTATGTACAAGAGCCTGTGTGATTTATGGAAAACAGATTTCCATTCCGCCTCCCCCCACCCCAAGTGTTTTATGTCAGCAACATTACACAGGATACTTTGCTGTCTGTACAAAATAAATCTCTCATTTTTTTTTTTTTACACTCACCATTTCTCCCAATAAGTTTGGTTTTTCTTTGTTTTTTTTTTTTTTGCTTTATTTAATCTGTGGCAATAACAATAGTAATAATAATAATAAATGATAATAACATCACTAACAAAAAGTGCCATTAAGAAATGCTGTTATAGTATGACATGATCAAAGAAAACACCAGTTAATGAGACAATACTTAAAGAGTTGCTATTCCCAATACTTCAAGGCAACTGAAAAGTCAAGGTTTTCTGGTTGGGAGTTGAATGGTCATCCCTGTTCAGAACTGGTATGAATGTAGTAGTGTGCTTGTCAGCTGATATTTTAAAACAACTGAACACAACCGAAACACTATTATCCATGTAAACTATACTATGACTTACTACAGAACTTTTTTTTTTTTTCATTTTAGGATCCGCTATGTAATTTGGGTGAGGATAAAGGAGATACTTCATAGTGCCAGTAAATAATTAAATAATAGCTAAATGCTGATCAGAGCTGAAACTGTAATTGTCATTTGGATGCCGTCCTGGTAGAGAATTAACCCAATGTAGCCAGTGAAATGTCTCTAGGCATACTGATATTTTCCCATGTATTAGAATAAATGCCCTTGGACAGTGTGTTTTCATAAGCACCAGTATTACTGTTGTTACTGTTTATGTATGTTTTTGTTTTCAAAGGGGAATCTGCACGTGTCATTTCCTGAAGCTACAACCTCAATCTTGCAGGTATCAGGAAACACTGAGAGGCCTGTGAGGAGTTCCACTTGGCCAGGTCCCCTGCACACACCTGGCCACACACCTGACAATAGCCTGTATAGGCTGGGTCTGGAGACTCTGCTGAGAAAGGAGGTGCTAAAGGAACTGCTATTAGGAGGCCCTTCTGGAGTTCCTTCCTGGTCAGCTAAAGCCACAGAGGAGCAGGGTTTTTGTGAAAGATCATCACGAGGCCAGAGCTGGTCTGCCATGGTTTCTAAATTTCAGCTTTTTGCTTTGTTCTCTTCACTCCCTCCCCTTTCTACTTCAAATTACATAGGGCCACAAGGCAGGTCTGACAACTCACCAATGAACCACACTTTGTGTTCCTTCTAAAAGTTTCAGAATGTAAGCATGGATAAATGCACTGCATGCTTTTCTTTGTAGGGTGTGTCAGCGCATACTGAGGGATGCTAGCAATTAAGCCATGTTAGCAGGCACATATCCTTGCTTAAGCCATTTCATGCCTTCCCCAAGTTCTTTGAGAAGAAGGATGGTACTCTGTTTACAGCAGCCTGAGCACTCACCTGTGGACATCTTTTCCTAAGGCACAGAAAGTTTTTATAAAGTGGGAATTCAAATTTTTGCAGAAATGAACATCTGCATGATAAGTGTTCAGAGAACAGAGCCCAACAGCAAGAGAAATCAAGGGTGCTGTAAAACAAAATCCACGCTTGGTTCTTGATTCTCCCCCTTTCTATGGTAGAATGAACGGAAAGCAAATCAGGGTACGCATTTGTGATTTTAGAGTCAGGCTGGAAAGACATGTCTGTCAGGATATAAATTGTCACTGGACCCCAAGTCTCACCAAGCAGTGCTTGTCATGCTGAAGGCTGTCATTATTTCAGTTTGATAACTATTTCACTTTTCATTCAAAACACTTTAAAAAACTAAGAGAGTAAGAAACTGAAATAGAAGCATACTAGAATGTCAGAATGGACCAGGTCATTGGGAGTTTCACAGCCTATGCACTGGGGTCTAGGATATTTTTAAAAATACTTTAGTAAAGTGTCACTGAAAATGACTTTCTGTTTAGGTCTTATATAAAAAAATAGCCAAGGGATCTGTAATAAAAAATCCCCAGGCCTTCAACTAGAGTTTCAGTGAAGGGTTACCTGTTTTCGCTCACTTTTTGTGAACCATCCCTTCTGGCTTCCCAAGAGTCGACAAACAGGATACCAGGAGTGTTAGGCAGGTTTGAATAACAGAATACGAGAAAGATATGGAAAGAGGGTAGGGAAAAGTTGTGTGTGGGGGGGAAACAGGCAGTTGGGGGGGGTACACCGAAGGAAACAAGCAAAGGAGTGCAAAGTAATTGCAAGTAAGTGCAAAGTGAACACGCGTTGTCTGTGTGTCTGTGTTCATATCTCTGGCATTTCTCAGACAGAGCACCAGAGCACAGACAATGGATGAACCCGTCAAAGGACAAAGTTTACAAGGTGAAGTTACTGACCAGACAATCCATGAGAGTTCCTGCTATGTAGGGCACTGGGAGCAGGGTGTGTGTGTGTGTGCACGCGTGTGTGTGCATGCATGTGTGAGTGGGTGTACACCCATTCCATTTCCCTCAGGGAGTGTTTGCTAACTACAAAACATTCCAGGTGTAGGGTCAAGACAGAGTGACAGGTCTGGCAAAACAAATGTTAACTGCAAGGATTAAAATAATAATGATTTCCATCCAAAGAACAAACCTGTAAATATTTTTTTGCTTGTTAAGGTAATGTAAATAACAAGTATTTGTTGTTCCAGCAACATAGGTTGCTGGAAGACGAAACTTCATTTTGCCGTTGGAGAAACACTGAGAAGCAATTGGCTAGCGCTGAAGCTATTCAAAGACCGGAGGGAATCCCAGGGCATTTCTCCAATTGGAGACCGCAATAGGCTTTGGATGTAGATTTTCCTGGTTGGGTCTGGCTTTCCATCGTGCGGCTGAGATGGAGAACCTTGGGAGAGGCTGCTCACTGTGCCACATTGGTAACAGGACCATCCTTCCCTCTTTGGAATTTTCAGCAAGGGTTATTCCCAAACTCTTTCCATGCAGACATTGTTTCACTGACATCTTTTGAGGGATGACAGCCAGGAAGTAACAGGTATCCCGTACAGAGTGACTCTACATTCCCTTTGAAAAGAAAAGTCCTGCTGGTGACCTTGCCCAGCAAACTGAGAGAGGACAAAGGAGCAAGTGCAAACTTCCTGCCAAGCTAGTTCTGATCACCCTCGTCCTGCATGCCAGACACGGTGACCCCTCTGCTCCGCACATTGGGTTGACATATTGCTTCACTCGATCTGTAAGAACATGAAAACAAAAGACCAGAAATCACCACTAAAAGGCTCTGCATATGCAGTAGAGGCCATGGAAGTGTTTAGCCCTCCGTGTAGACAGAGGAGAGCTGGCTAGGGCAGCGGTCCACAGCGCTGATCTGTAGGAATGTCGTATCTTCAGGCCCACTGCGAAGAGATTCCCCAAAGAGGCTGGAGGAACTTGAAGGTAAATCATACACTGGAAGAGAAAGAGCACAGAAGTCAGTAACTCAACCGTGCAGCCCAGGGCAAGTGTGCAGAGCAGCTTACTAGGTATTGTCTGCAGGCTTGGAACTTCAATCATGTCTCTGTCTTTAAGGAACCTAGGTAAGAAGGTCGACTTGCAAGTAGCTGGCTAAATCATGACGACCTTGCACAAAATATGGACTTCGAAGAAGTAAAGGGGAACATTCTCAAGAAACAGGAAGTGGAAATCGTAAAGTTGACTCATAAAAGGGAACAGTATGCTGGAGCTGGTGGCTCATACCTATAATCCTAGCTACTCCAGAGGCCAAGATCTGAGAATCGCAGTTCAAAGCCAGCCCAGGCAGGAGAGTTCATGAGATTCTTAGCTCCAATTAACCACTGGAAAACCGGAAGTGGAGCTATGGTTCAAAGTGGTAGAATACTGGCCTTGAGAAAAAGTGCTCAGAGACAATGCCCAGGCCATGATTCCAAGCCTCACAACAGACCAAACAACAATGACACTAACAAAATAAAAACTACAACAACCCCAAACCAAGAGAACAGGATGTAGAGATAGGGAAAGAATACTCCAGAAAGATGCTGGAAGAGGAGGCCCATATATGGGGCTGGGGTGGGGTTCAGGCTGCATACGGTCAGAAGAGTTTGTAAGAAAAATATGTACATGCAGGTCTGCAGAGTTTGATCGGGTCTAAGTCAGACCTGAGAGGAGAATCCTGTGCTGTAGACACAGTTTTTTTTTTATTATCTATTTAAGAAAGTAGGATATTTTATTCCTCGTTTTTGAAAGGCAATGCTCAGTGTGGGAAGGCAACAAGATTATAGATGAAGAAACTTTAGGGAAATTTTTTGAAAGGTATTTCCCCAGTCTAGGGGAGCAATAATGACCCCCAAATAGGCTAGGGTGGGATCTGGAGTCTTATTTCACGACCAGTTGGATAGGAGCAGATGTGGTAAAAACTAGTCTGGGCCAGTCACCCGGAAACCCACTAGCCTGTCAGCCTGAGTTTCTACGTCACAGATTCCCAACGTACCTGTAATGCCAGAATGAGTGGAGAAGGCTCTGTGGAAAACATCGAAACCAGCCTGGCCCATGGTTGTAGGGCCCAAGCAATCCTCGAAGGATGGTATCACACTGCAAGAGCTGCTGGGCGGTGCAGTTCTCTGGTTTTCAGTGTAATGTGGTGGGCAGAATGTCTGCAGCTGCCCATAGAATCCTGAAATTCGAGCACAGTCTTGAGCTACTTCATGTACAAGACCCTACCAACCCAACTACTACCTTATTCAGCATGGATTTATGTAACAAAATATCTCCAACTCTTAGACAAATATATTCGGTTCCCTTTTATGGTGTCCATTATGGGGTTTGAACTCAAGAGACTGCATGCTGTCCCTAAGCTTTTTGCTCAAGGCTAACATTCTACCATTTGAACCACAGATCTACTTCCAGCTTTTTTTTTTTTTCTGGTTAATTGGAGGTAAGAGTCTCGTGGACTCTGCTGCCTAGGCTGGCTTCAAATCCCAATCCTCGGATCTCAGCCACCTGAGTAGCTGGGATTACAGGCATGAGCTTTAGAGACCTGCCTGGCTCTTAAGACTTATTTTCAAGCAAGCACTTGAGATGCGTTACTTGGGCTGAAGCCCAGGAGTGATTTCAAGCTTGATGGCTTTATAATGATTTTAGTTTGCACTCTAGTAACCAAAGCAAAAGCTCTTCTAACCTTCTTTGAGCTCTTCTGAGAGTCTTGGTCTCTGAATGACCTCATCTTCAGGAAACTATTCTATCTCAGACCCTCTTATAGGTTTTGCATGCAACATCCTTTTTCCTTTATTCTGTTTCCATGTTTGACAAAACTGACCTAACCAAAAACGTCCAGCACAAATCCATCCATCCATCTTTCCAGCCAATACATTCATCGTATTAGTAGCTTCCTCATTATTTTTAAATAGATATCTCTTATTTCCTAGTTGGCTGTAAACCTTCTTCCTTAGTCTTTGTGGTAACTGGGAATTCTCCAAGTGAATACGTAAAATAACTAAGAAATAAGAAGAAAATATTTTCAATACTCAAAATCAATCATCAATCTTTTAATAATCTTCTTCCATCTACCCTGTTCAATTTTTTTCTCATTCAATGAAATTTGCTTTTTTATCTTATGGGATACTTTTATGTGATCTTCCACATCTCCCACAATTCTGTAACTTGTCCTGCTTTTTTTCCCTCCTTGCTTCATGATAAATTTAAATCAGTGGAGTACGTTTTTGGAGTATCATGTGCTATACAATGATGAAGCCAGGCACTGGGGGCTTATGCCTGTAATCCTCACTACACGGGAGGCTGAGATCTGAGGATCAACGATTCAAAGACAGCTTAAGCCAGAAAGTCTGTGAGACTCCTTATCTCCATTTAATCAGCAAAAAAAGCCAGACATGCACATGTAGCTCAAGTGGCAGGGTGCCAGTCTTGAATGAAAAAAATCCAGGGAGAACCTGAGGCCCTGAGTTCAAGTCTAGTTTCTTTTAGTTTTCTCTCTACACATATATGTATAATGTATGAAAAAATATATATATATGATTTGTTGATTGCACACTTTATTGGAGGAGAAACGCGACTGGTTCCTAATGCTACTTTTCATTGTTTTCTCGACTAGAGAATGTGAATGGCATTGTGTGCTTGGCCAGGCCATTGTGAGGATTAAACTAGTCATCCAATAAGGAAGTTTATTTCTAACATTCTGAAGTGCTTTCAGAACTAAACATCCTGATATCACTCTTCTGTTTTTGATTGGGAAAACCAAGGGAATTGATAGAGGAAGTACCCCAGGATTGATTCCTTCCACAAACACTGGATGCAGAATTCATTTATGGACTTTGGTCCTGTCTACCTTTCTCCACTAGACCTGCCTCTTAAGATTGTTTAGGCTTTGTGCCTGGTTAAGAAAATCTGAGCCACCTGTCAGCAAGCAGGGGAGGTGCTATTTGGGTTGTTTTTAGCTTTCTAAGTAAAAGCAGAGTACAGTGACTCATCCAGCATACTGTGCTTTTCGTTCAGCATCAAACCCTGAGGGTAGCCCAATAATACTTAGATCACCCCTAGCTAGGAGGGCTGTTTTACAGTTACCATGAGCACTATTAATGATTTTATGTTTAACTGTGCATAAGCCTGTAATGACACAGCTGACCCTCTAGAAGCTTATGATCCAAGATATAAATCAAATGAAAACTCATGCACAAGGCACATTCACAGAAGAAAGCAGCAACAATAGCATTCATAGACAATAGTACACTACTGTACAGCAGTAACAGAAATATCCACGTAAGGTTTTGAAGAATGATTGTTGCATTAGGAGTATAGGAGGCAGATGGAAAACAATGGATTCTACTCTTTCAGTTTCCTAAAGGCACAATCTCGAAAGACAGACAAGAAAAAGACCCCCACACTGGTAATTCATACATACTTGCATCAATGATCAATCAGTATGAATGAACTAACCATCCTCAACCTCCCAAAGAAATAAAAATCAAACAATAATAAAATGTCATCTTCTTTCTAGTGAATTAGCAAAGATTTTAGAAAAATCATTCTTAATGCTAAAGTGTGAAAAGTGAAGAAAATAATTCTATGTTATGTCACAGAACTTATGAAAAGTTACATATATATATATATATATATATATATATATATATATATATATATATATACACACTAATGCTTTTAGAAAACCATTTGACATTCTGTTTAGATCTAAAGTGTTTATTCTCTTGGATTCAAATTTTTACTTCTGAGAAAGTACCGTTAAAGCACATTTTAAAGAACTCAAGGAATTCTGCATAGAGCACTAATGATCATTAATGAACTGGAGGCCCAAAACAGATAACTATCAGAGAATGATGACGCAAGGGGTAAAACACCTAAGAAATGCAAATATTGAGTAGCTATTGAAATACTATTTATAAGGCACATTTAATAGCATGGAAAAGTCACTATTAAGCTCACGTCAATTATTTTATCTAAAGAAGTTATTAGCACAAATTAATTACATAAAGGGGCTTCATTGTGATATAGGTAACAGCTATACAAGGTACTTTGATCAAATTCTCTCCATCTATGTTACTCTTTAACCCTCTCCCTTTCCCCTCCATCTTCTGCTCTATAATCTTCTTTTCTTTTTCTTATCTGAGTTCAGTATCAGGATAATATTGGCTTCATGAGTATTGGAGAGTTTCTTCTTTTCCTACTATTGGGAATAGTTTAAGAAGTATTGGTACCAGTTTTTCCTTTAAGGGCCTCATAGAATTTAGCAGCTAACCCATCCAGTCAACGCTTTTGGGGAGACTTGTTGCTAACAATCTCATTGTTCTTACAGGTCTGATCAAGCAGTTGATAGTCTTTTGGGTCAAATTAGGCAGATCATTTGAATCTAAAAATGTCTCCATTTCTTATACATTTTCCAGTATAGTATAAGTTTTGAAAGTATTTCTTACAATCCTCTGAATTTCAACGTTAGTTTTTTCTAGTATCCTCTTTCTCACCTCTACCTTTGTCACTATTTTGTCTTTTCCATCTTTCTTTTGGTTAATGTGGCTAAGGTTTTGTCATTCTTATGAATTTTTTCAAAAACTCATCTTTTTGTTGTTGATTCTTTGTATTGTTAGTCCAGATTTCATTAATATTTTATCATTTATTATTTCATTAATAATTTCACAATTTTTTTTCGGCCTGCTGATTTGGAGTTTGGCTTTTTCCTGGTTTTCTAAGAGGTTAAGATGAATCACTGACTTACTTACTTAAGAGCTCTGATTTCTTAATGCAGGTGCTCATAGTTCTAAACTTTCCTTTTACCACTGCTTTTGCAGTTTCTCAAATATTCTGGTAAGCTGTATTTTAATTTTCACTTGATTCTAGGATTTTTCATTTTTCCCTTTATTTGATGACTCACTTGTCATTCAGCCAATCTTCATGTGATTTAATTGTCACTGTGATTTTTTTATTTCTAGCTTTACTTCATTATTATTTATAGTCTTCATTCCATGCTGATATCTAACAATAATTCCATACTGTTCTCTTATAAGGTGCCAGTGGCTCACAGGCTGTAATCCTAGCTACTAAAGAAGCTAAGATCTGGGGAATGACGAACTAGCACACGCATAAAAGTTTGTTAGATTCGACTTCCAAAATAACCAGCAAAAGTCATGCTTAGGTATGGCTCAAGTGGTAGAGCATTAGCTAAGCAAACAAGAAATCCTGAATTCAAACTTCAGCATGAATGTACATGCATACCCACTCACTCACACACACAGCATGTTATACTGTAAGAGAATGAAAAATAAACAGAACATTCTGGAACATCATGGTCCTTCAGAGACCTATGTGTATTGCTTGCCTGTGGTTCCCAGATCCTGTAATAACTGCCACATATCCTGACTTGACCCAGTGGGGGTCCCAAACAGCCACAAGTCTGAGTGCTTTGAGTAACATAAATCTGTGTGGTTTGAGTAATCACTTGGCATTGAAATAAGGATACAGGGTCGAACCAGTGTCATCTTGGCCACATGGTGGATGACAGAGAATTGGGTTGACCTGGTGCCATCTTGTCTTTATGGTAGAGACAGGGAAGTTCCATCCCTCAGGCGGTGAGCATGCCTGACTTCTTAGAGGCAGGGTGGGACTTAGAGGATAGGTCACTGGACCTGTCAGTCCTGTACCCTGAATGCACTTCTTGAGTTTCCTGTGACCCTACTCCCGACCTTGACTCTATTTAGGCTGGGACCAGCTCAGGAGCCATTATGCCAGGCCTCATTTCTCCTGGCTCTCCTCTGGCCACATGATGTGCCACTTCAGTTCTCCATTGAAGTTGATCTAGTTTGTGGGTATTGCTTTCCTGCTCTTTCTTCCCTCTCCTACTCTCATGGCTCAGTTTTCTAACAGTGTTAAGAATATTCAAGGGGCTATAAGGTCTTTAGGACAGGAGTCCAGATGCAGACTTCCAATTTGACCTCTCAAGATGTGGCTTCTCTGTTTCTCACAACTGAGTTCCTAAACAAGAGAATGACCTGGATTTGGAGGACCTGGTAGCCAGGCACATTGCAAATATGGCCCACAAACTAGGAGGAAAGAATTACTATGGTCTATTAGAATGTAGTCTTTTCATTCAACAAAAAAGAAAATATTTGCTGTCTATATCTCTGCCCTGGCTCTATTCAAAATTGTCACCCA